TAATTAGTCCTCCCATTGCAGTTTAATTAATAAGAGATTGCGTCCTACCCATTCCATCTCTCAGGATGTTGCTTCAAAGAACTACCCATCTAAGCCAACGCTTAACAGCTTTACTCCCAAGAGCATATTTCATAGTGATATTGAATTTTAGCAATCAGATATGGTCATTAAATGCAGAAGATCCAGCGATCATAATACAGTTTTATAATTGCATATAATTGCACTATTCATCTTGGTAGAATTTTTAATAAGCAGTACGTAAACAAGTATATTTAAAAATTGTGATAGAAATCTTTTCACTTTGCTTAACATCTAGGAATTTTAATTACATGGATAATTTGGGTAAGCAGAAATTAGACCACCACTCATTATTCAGATGATTTTTATCAATTACTTTCTGCAATGTGCTGTTAATCCTTTACACAAGAGTAAAGCCTTCCATAAATACTTTGGAAAAGTACTGAGCAATACCTTTGTACATTTCTTGCTCTTGCACATCATAAAATTTAGTGCATAAGTGAATTTACAGAAAAATATCTGAAGTGATAACACCACAGGCAGTGGTGGCAGGAAAGGGTGGCTCTCTAGAACTGGCATTTGGACTGTGGTTGCTGTTAGCAACTGCACTGCAAGCTCGATCTACTTTTGGGACAGTGCTACTTTCCTCATTGGCTCCTTCAGCAACTCTCTGTTTCCCTTGTGACCTTTCTGGACCGTTTACCCTGTTTCAACTGGATCCTAACTGCAAAGAATACTATCAGAGAGAAGTACAATTTGAAAACAGCTTCCTGGAGACGGGAGTTTTTGAAATTTGTGGTTGAAAACTGAGGAGAATCCCTTAATCCATGACTGTTAAGAAAAAAAGACTACAGATCATATATGTTTGAGGTTTCGACTCGGCACTATAGCTTTGAATACGATTGAAGAATTAAGCATCGTTAGCTAAAATAACAACGTAGAAGAATTCCTGAGCAATACGTTGTTAGTTGCTTAACAATTGTCCTGGCTTTTGTTTTCCTGAGAGATGAAATGTACAGAACCTCGACAAACACGTCTTGCATTCTGAGGCAGTGAACAACTTCTAATTAAGAGTTGATATGCAGCACAGCTTCTGATATCTAAGGAGTTAGCAATCTAACCCACCCATCTTAATACGTGTCCACCCACATGCTTTTGCTGTTATCTCTCATGAAAGGCTTTGTAACCAGCTTGGAGTTAGGTATGAAAATGCTAGCACTTGTGATAATTGGTCCAGATTTCTAAAAAATCTCTAGATTCAAAATTAGGGAGATTAGTAGAGGAGAAAGATGCTGTCCTCTGTGCCTTGTGTGTTCTTTGCAAGTAATGATAGAAAACTATTAAGCAAATAGACGTTTTAAGCCTGTGACAGATTGCCTCTCCTCAGAGTCTCCAGTATTTTTATATTCCTGAGCTTTTCTTTAAATAGAAATGCTGTTCATAATTTCTAAAGAATGTATAGCTTAAAACTTTTCAACGTTGTATTTGTGGACTGATTCAGGATATGAAGGGGCAGGGAAACATGCACGAAGACGTGCTTTAGTCAGAGTCAAGCCAGCACAGAAAGCCTTGCTGAGGGTTTGTGTAAAGAGGATCTTTTAAGAAGTGCTATTTTTTTTAGATTCCTAGGAGAAATTAGTATAGACATATGAAAAACTAACGTACAAATGCAAGGATTCAAAAATAAAGTACTACAGATTCCGTATGATACTGTTTGATGTAGACCTTTAGGGAGAAGTCAGCCCCTCTCAGATGTCCTTAAGTGTGGCAATTACTAGCATTAAAAGATATATGTATCATAAGATGGTTGCACAATAGGGACCTCAATTTTGGAATTTTTTTTTACATCTCTAGTATAGATGTAAGACAAATTTTTTAATCAATGTGAACAGCTTAACTTTTAAAAGGCAAAAGTTGTAAGGGTTTTCTCTTTATCTGCACTGATCTAGAGCTTTGTTAGTCCAATTTTTCTTCATTTTTGTTTTTATATAGCTAACCCCTGATTATACCTCATTTTCAGGCTGTCTCCATTAATAGGAGAGTAGTCAGAGCATGGATGCAATGTCCTTTTTTTTTCATAATAGTAGTAGTAAACACTGTCTGATGGGTAGTGTGTAAGAAGAGGAGTGAATATTTGACATTGGAACTCTCAGAATCCACAAAGAAAATCACCATAGTTCTGGAGACAGTGATAAACAGCAAATGTCTTGAGTACTAAAATTGTATTGCAAATTGTTTTCTTTTGGTCAACATGATTCTTTTGTGTTTTAAAAAATTCGATTTTTTTTTTTTTTTTTTTTTGAGTTGGAGTCTCACTCTGTCGCCCAGACGGAGCGCAGTGGCCGCTCCCGGCCACTGCAGCCTCAACCTGCCAGGGTTCCAGCGATCCTTCCACCTCAGCCTTCTAAGTAGCTGGAACTACAGGCGCGCGCTACCACGCCCAGCTAATTTTTGATTTACTGTAGAGATGAGGTCTCGCCTGCCCAGGCGGAGCTCGAACCCGCGGACTCAGGCAATCCACTTACCTCAGCCTCCCAAAGGCGCGGGATTATAGGCTGAGCCACCGAGTCTGGCAAAAAATTAGATATTAACGTATTTTTTTCTTGCCCCTTTGCCAAAGCATGACCTTTAAATATGCTTTTTAAATCTTTCTAACAGCAGACAGAGAAGAATGAATGCATAAATATCTGGAATGTGTCTGGAACACAACCCAAAGCATTACATGCACCCAGGGAGTCTTCTCTTAGTCTCATGTTTTATCTGAAAACTTATTAACATTTTGCCTTCTATTCAGTGTTCTTGTTTAAATATGTAAATGATGACGCCTTTGTTAAATTTAAATTACCTAAATTTCCCAAAAATTATTTGAGTATATTTTATGCTCCTAGGCAATTGCTGTGTGTATGTTGTGACTTTGAGATGTGTCTTTGCTTCTCTTGGTTGACTATTATCTGCTTGAGGGAGAGGACTGCTTCTTGTATCTTTCTGTCTCCCTAATATCTAGCATAGTTCTTGGCAAAGAGTTGACATCAATAAATATGTCCTTATGTTGGATATGTGTCTGGGAGCCCCCATTAGATTATATGTATAATGCTAAAAAACATTTTCTAGGTAAATGAATAAATAGCATGCTTACATTAGAAACATTGTTTATATGTCTGGAAAAGCCTTGTATGAAAAAAATATAGGTACATATTTTTGGTTCATAACATTTAGTTGTTTTTTTTAGATGTCTAGACCATATGCATATAAGAGCAATGCCTTTTTGGATGCAATGTTCCGTGTGGTTATTTTCAAAAAGATTTCTGAGCCCAAATTTTTCCTATGGTTGGGATACCTAGAAATTCTTTTGTGCTCCTTTCTGCTGCATGTTTTCATGGTTATTATAATTACTATTTTTTGAGTCAGAGTCTCACTCTGTCGCTCAGGCTGGAGTACAGTGGCATAATCACAGTTTACCGCAACCTTGAACCCCTGGGCTCAGGGATCCTTCTGCTTCATCCTCCCAAGTAGCTGGGACTTCAGGCACATACCATTATACCTGGCTAATTTTTTTATTTTTGTAGAGATGAGGTCTCGCTATGTTACCCAGGCTGGTCTTGAACTCCTGTGCTCAGGTCATCCTTTTCCCTTTGCTTCTCAAAGTGCTGGGATTATAGGTCAACGTTGCTGTGAGCTGTCATCGTGCCACTGCACTCAAGCCTGGGTGACAGAGTGAGACTATGACTCAAAAAATAATAACTATAATAACCATGAAAACATACAGCACAAAGGAGTCAAAAAAGAATTTCTAGATACTCCAATCATAGGAAAATTTGGGCTCAGAGCTCTTCTTTTTGAAAATATAACCACCTGGAACGTTGTATTAACCATGCCTGGCCCATGGTTATTTTTTATATCTTCCTTTTTTTTTTGCCTTTTAAAATATGTCTTGTTTCTTTAAATTTGATAAATGTACTCATTTCATGATAAATATACTTATTTCGTGTTTGATTTTGTAACTTGTTTCCACTGGCAGATAATCTCATAGTGGCCAACTGTCTCTTGCTTGTTGGGATTTTTGATTTTTATGTACCCATGTTCCCTTGAGTTTTATCTGAGATATTCTTCTGGGACCTGGCTTTAAAGTGTCTTCTTCTGGAGAGTATTTGTGTTTGGTTCTACCAGGTTCTTGGGATTGCTTTAAATTGCATTTTGGGTTTTCTGAACTATATAGGTGGTGTGGATTCTGGCCCTAAGACCATGTGAGTTCAGGGTCTTGGTTAGAATTTACCATTTTGTTTCCTCCTTTTCCCCTAATTCACCTAAACAAACCAAGATCCTGTCATGCAGGCAAATTTCTCCATTGTTTCCTCTGCTTTTTCTCTTTATATGTCTAAAGTTGTCAGTATTTGGGGAGTTCCAAATTCATAAGGGAATCTTTGACCAAATCCTCACCCACATTGGCCCAGCTTCATCTCCCATCTCTTTAGCTGGATATCAAGGGATCCCATCCTTCCAGCTAAAGCTAACTTGAAACTCTCATCAGGATCGGCAGATGCCCCAAAGGCAAACACACGGGCTGGACAGGAAGGGGTCATGTACCTCTTTGAAATCTGTTTTCTCATTGATTTTGGCCTCTGAGGAATTTTCTTGTTTTCCATGAGTGACAATGATTCAGCTGAAGTCCTGAACTCAGTTACCCATGCCTCATTCCAGGAAACTACCCCTCCCTCCCTCCCTCTCTTCCTCCCTTTCTTCCTATTTCCTTCGTTCTTTCTTTATTTCCTTCCCTCCTATTTCCTTCTTTCTTTCCTTATTTCCTTCCTTCCATTTCCTTCTTTCTTTCCTTGTTTCCTTCCTTCCATTTCCTTCTTTCTTTCCTTATTTCCTGCTGCTCCCCCCTCGCCACCCTTCTTCTGTTTTGCCAATCTGTATTCATTTCCTAGTGTTTTGATCTTCCAGAGAAGACCAGAATAAATGTGTTCTATGTCCCTCCACAGGTTGCTTCTCTCGGTGTCACCACCTTCACCTTATGCGCTCTGTGTATAGACCGCTTCCGTGCTGCCACCAATGTACAGATGTACTATGAAATGATTGAAAACTGTTCTTCAACAACTGCCAAACTTGCTGTCATATGGGTTGGAGCTCTACTGTTAGCACTTCCAGAAGTTGTTCTCCGCCAGCTGAGCAAGGAAGATTTGGGGTTTAGTGGCCGAGCTCCTGCGGAAAGGTGCATTATAAAGATCTCTCCTGATTTACCGGACACCATCTATGTTTTAGCCCTCACCTACGACAGTGCGAGACTCTGGTGGTATTTTGGCTGTTACTTTTGCTTGCCCACACTCTTCACCATCACCTGCTCTCTAGTGACTGCAAGAAAAATCCGCAAAGCAGAGAAAGCCTGTACCCGAGGGAATAAGCGACAGATTCAGCTAGAAAGCCAGATGAACTGTACAGTAGTGGCTTTAACCATTTTATATGGATTTTGCATTATTCCCGAAAATATCTGCAACATTGTTACTGCCTACATGGCTACAGGGGTTTCACAGCAAACAATGGACCTTCTTAATATCATCAGTCAGTTCCTTCTGTTCTTCAAATCCTGTGTCACCCCGGTCCTCCTCTTCTGTCTCTGCAAACCCTTCAGTCGGGCTTTTATGGAGTGCTGCTGCTGTTGCTGTGAGGAGTGCATCCAGAAGTCTTCAACAGTGACCAGTGATGACAATGACAACGAATATACCACAGAACTTGAACTCTCCCCTTTCAGTACCATACGCCGCGAAATGTCCACTTTTGCTTCTGTTGGGACGCATTGCTAAAGGACGGTACTAGGTTAGGTCTAATTTGCTTATTTGTTTGATTTTCATATCCTGGAAAGTTTTTACTTCAAGTTTTTCCTTACAGGGAAATGTGCAAAAACAAACAAAACAAAACAACAACAACAAGCAGTAAAGAGAAATATTAACTATTGTAGAACTGATTTTACAAATTAATATTTGTGCTTTGAAAAAATGTTTATATTTAGTTATTTAAGAAGAATGAGGAGGCTGATAGTTTTAGATCATTTTATCTGGGATGGTGCTAATATTTTATTTGAAAAAAGTTACTGCACCTTAACTTAATTAATTGCTAATTTTTTCTTTTTTTTAAAGTATAATTACTGTATATTGATTATAACCATGTGATTTTGTAGGTTATTTTATGTTTGAGTTGTGACTGAAAGTATATTGTATATGGTATTGTGAGATGATTTGTACTTTAGACGCATTCACAAAGTAGCACCAAATAAATGACACTTTATTCTTTAACATTATTGTCAATCTACTTTTAACCAATATTCAATAAATCTTTTGATTGCCTTAAAAACACAACTATTTGTTCTATGCACAATTTAAAACGAGCCTTACTGTTTTATAATTATGTTTTCCTTTAAGGCAGTTAATCACTATGCTATAAACAAGTTTTCCTAATAGTGCTATTTTATATGCATGATTCATAAAACTATATTGTATGTTAAAGCAAAACTGTATTTTTAATATTCAGGTGTAGATGTAAAATTACTTCTGAATATTTATGAAATATGAATAAATAGACAGCAGAGTAGGAAGAAAGTTTCCTTCTTTTTTTTTTTTTTTTTTAATTCACCTTTGAACTAGCATGTAGAACTACAAGTTTTCCCATGAAGAATTTTGGCAGATTCAAGAATAAAAACAATGCACTTGTCATCTGATTTCTTCTGAACACTGACCTTTGAAGCTTTGTGAATCCTATATAAAACACTTGGAATTCTAATTGTTCTCTTTTGAATAATGAACTTGATTAAATGTATGCAACTTAATTTCTTTAAGTAGAATGAAAATGTGGTAGTGGAATAACAGAATACTTATATATCTTGATCAGAATAGTTGAATATCTGAATATTACCTTAAATTGATTATTCATAAACTCCCAATAAAAAACTAACCCCCTCCATTTGGAGCATTTGAATCCCATTTTTTGCTTCTTCAAAAGTTAAGTTGCAGCAATTATGTAGGATGCCGTTATATGGGACACATGTCTAACTCAGATGGCAGAGACAGTGACCTAGTGACACAGTGCTATTTTAAAGCTACCAAAGAAGATGTGTGGTTGAATGTTTTTGGCTGCAGAAAAATCATGTTACAGGAAAACAAATTTTCTGACTGGGAAAATGTGTTTTCTGCTTGTTGATTTTTGTACTATTTAGCATAAGTCAATATCTTCTTTTCTCCAGATTATACATAATGTTATTTAAAATCATTAAATTAAAGAGACTTGACCCAGACCAGTCATCCTTCAGAAGAAACTCAGATGAACTAAATGACAGTGCCCAGGTTCTCTCTCTTTTCCCAGTTCAATACTCTTCAAAGGGATCTGCCCCCGCGTTGTGTGAGTTCTAAGGGATTTGAGGAAGAGTAAAAACATTGTCTTCTTACAGAATCTTGTAATAGGTCTTTGGAAAACTCCAGAGGACACCCGAGCTAGGTTTTGACTGCCAAGCAGATCAGAAATTATGATTCCATAGTGTCTCTCATGATGTTTAGTCAACACTGTAAATTTAAAAAGTTGATTGAGTACATTATGTAGAAAAGGTTATATGCTATTACTTGAAGCAAATAAAGGTAAAAAGAGCATCGCCTCAGACCTTACAAATCCAGGCAGAGATAGGGTGGAAAGGAAGAAATAAAAAAAATACAAGTATGATCTAAGCTTGAACTGTTAGGTGCCATAGAAATATGTGACGTTCTATGATAGTTAAGAAAAAGAACATGTTAAATTGGAGTAGAGCATGGAAAGTTTTATAACTGCATGACTGGGCTTTTAGAAGGCGTTGAAAGATTGTACGAGGAGTGGACAATTTAGAAGGCGAGAACTAATTTAACAAAGGAATAGAGGAAGAACTCATTGGGTGTGACTGAAGAATAAATGAATGGTCACTCCAATTTGGCTCCTGTGCTATGGATGTATAGAAGCCTCGTGGAAAATAGTAAGGAAAATATGTATTGAAGTCATGTCATAAAAGGATCATGTCTCGAAAGATGTTTAGAAGGAGTCCGTCAAAGAAATGAATCTTTATTTTTAAGATTTTTGAGTACTGAAGAAACATCGCAACTTTGCAACAGGAAGATCAACTTGCAAACAGTTTAAAAAGGTTGGTGAGGGAGAGTCTGAACAAGAAAAAACAATTAAGAAGCAGTTCTGATGGCTTGAATCACTGTGGAGACAGTGGATGCTTTCTTTCTTTTCTTTTATACTTACCTTCTTGTTGAATCCTACCTCTAGCATAGTAGAAATTTTGATAGCTCACATTTAAATTGTCCCTTTTTATGGCTGTGTCCATTGTGCATATGTACCACATTTTTATCCAGTCCTCTTTTGATGAGCAGCACTGGTGGTTCCATGTTTTTATGGTTGTAAATAATGTTGTAATAAACATGCATATGCAGGTATCTTTTTCATAGACTGATTTGACAGCAACTTGGATGGACTTAGAGATAGGGTGGAAAGGAAGAAATAAAAAAAATACAACTCTGATATAAGCTGGAACTATAATACTGAGTGATCTATCACAGAAACAACGAACTGAATACCACATGTTCTCACTCACAAGAGAACCTTGAACAAATATCCTAATACTATAAGAAAGGGATTGGCAGTAGTGGGAAACTGCCTGGGGAGGATGAGGGCTATATTGGCAGTAGTGGGAAACTGCCAGGGTAGGGGAGGGCACACCTCATCAACAAGGGTGCCTGCATAATGAACATTTATATACCTAACCCTGAATTGTACCCCACATCTTCAAAATTAAAAATTAAAAAAAATTAAATTGTCCCAAGTATAAGATGATTTGAAAGTTTTCTCATGGTCTTGCATTTATAACCAAAAAATAAAATAAAAAAGCAATTTCTAGAACATACTTTTAAAAATTGTTAACCTTTTTTGTTTAAATTTTCTTCAGTCCAGATTCTATCCAATTTCTTCCCCTCCTCATTTTAAAAAAGAAGCTCGCATCTGAAATTAAGTCCAGTAAAATTGTGATTAATCAGAAAACACTAGAAATGGTGTTTCAGTTACTTAACCAGAACACCTATGGGTTTTCAGGGTAGTCAGTGAAAATATTTTAAAGATATATTTGTCTATATCTCTAACTGGAGAGTATAATATACTCAATTTAACATTTCATTAGTTTTGAAGTCTTCAAATTTGTGACTTCGAGCATCAACTCATTTACAATCAACTCAGTGAACATTTATTAAACTTATTTGTACCTGGTGCTAGGCTTGATAGCGTGCATGATTAACTTTTCTTAACATTGAGATTTCTGCCATTAAGTAGATTTGAGAGTAATGCATATATGTAAATGTGTAAAATTTAGTGTTGTGAGTGCAGTGTGCATGAAGTATGATGGTTAAAAGATGGAGCTAGCTGGGCTTGGTGGCTCAGCCTGTAATCCTGTGCTTTGGGAGGCTGAGGTGAGTGGATTGCCTGAGCCCACGGGTTCGAGATCCACCTGGGCAACTTGGCGAAACATCATCTCTACAATAAATCAAAAATTAGCCGGGCATGGTAGCACATGCCTGTAGTTCCAGCTACTTGGAAGGCTGAGGCGGAAGGATCACCGGAGCCCAACAGGTCGAGGCTGCGGTGGCCGGGAGTGGCCACTGCATTCCAGTCTGGGCGACAGGCGTGAGACTCCAACTCAAAAAAAAAAAAAAAGATGGAGCTGATAGCAGGAAGGTAAAAGTGAAGTGACTCATGAGGAATCAGTGGTTGGGAGGGAAGGGGGTGGGAAAGAGGGCTTTACTGAGGAAAAAGATCAAATGCTTATTGCTTTATTTGATAGATGTAAGTCATTTACTGGATCTAGATGAATTTCATTCTAAGGAAATGCTGATACTTAATCTCTAAAATATATCTCTAATCATTACTTTTCCTCATCGTTTGCTTATTTCTCATAAAAGTATAATTGGAATCAAAAGTCCATTTCTTTAAAAATTACAGTGAAATTGATTTTAACATGTTATAAAAAGTATGCAAGTGGTAGTGAATGCAGATAATTAATTAAGTAAAGACTCTTTGTAACTCTGCTCATTTATTTAACAAATATTTAGTGAGGACTATTTTGCGTTAATTGCCTCTGTAGGTACATGTAATATAGCGGGGAGCAAATCACCAAGTAGCCCTCTCTTGTTGAGAGAGACAGACACTATAAAAAATAAATATATAAGGAGATTACACTGTAAAAGAATATACACTATTTTTAAATTTTTTAAAGATATGTGGTACAATTCAGGATTAGGCATACATGTAGATATCTCACAGGTAAAGTTTAGACCTCCCTTTGGTCCCCATTTTGCCAGGTTTGAGATCAGGTACTCTTGTTGATGTTGTGTCCCCCCTCCCTCTCACCCTAGCAGTATTCTGCTAACTATCAATCCTTTTCTTATAGCACTAGGGTAAATGTTCAGGGTCTGTTTATGAATGAGAATATGTAGTACTCTGTTCTTTGTTTCTGTGATAGTTCGCTGAGGATTATAGACTCTAAATCCATCCAAGCTGCTGCGAAGTCCATATGTTTGCTCTTCTTTATGGCTGCATAATATTCCATTATGTATATGTACCACATTTTTTATCCAGTCCAGTTTCAATGGGCAGCACAAGAATATACACTATTTTTGATAGGGAAAAGTAACATGGAGAAAAGAAGTATCAGGGTAAGGTAGGATTCTGAAGAAGACCTTATCACAAAAGTGACACTGAAGTAAGACCTGAATCAAGCAAGAATCACCTGGCTATCAGGGGAAAAGGCGGATTCTGAGGCAGGAGCATATCTAATAGGTTTCAGAATTTTTGTAAAATGGTCAGAGTCGTTGGAAAAGCTTAAGGGAGAAGAAGAGCAGTAGCAGATGAGATCAAAGAGCAAAAAGCAGACCTTGTCATGACTATTGTAGTAACTTTGATTTTTATTCTGCATAACACACCATTAGATGGCTTTAGATAGAGTGACATGATTGACTTTAACATAGCCTTGTATTTCTTGATTTAATTTTAAAATTAAGTTACAGTTAAAATACAATTTGTCCACTTTAGCATACAGTCCTGAGCATCCACAGTCATGTCACCACCAGAAAGTATACAGCACTTCCACCATTCCAGAGACGTGCCCCAGGCTCCTTTGTGGCCAACGCTGTTCTGTTCTTAGCTCACCAGTGATCTATTTTCTGTTTTTATAATTTTGCTTTTTGCAGAATGTCACATAAATGAAATTATATAGAGGTAGACTTTCAGTTTGGCTTCTTTCTCTTAACATAACACACTGGCTATTCACATGTCATGTGATTCAGCAGTTTGCCTCTTTTTATTGCTGAGGAGTATTCCATTGTTTGGATGTACCACTATGTGTTTATCCTTTTCTTTCCCAGTTGAGGGACATTTGCGTTGTTTCCAAATTTGGTGAGAACAATTAAATCTGCTAAAGTTACTGATGTATAGGTTTTTAAGGGAACATAGGTTTTCATGCTTCCTTGGTAAATAGCTGGGAGTGAGAATGTGGGGTGATATGGTCGATGAATTTTTCAACTTTATAAG